TGCGCTGACGGAGGAGGGTGGGAGCCGGAAGGAGACTGCGCTGACGGAGGAGGAGGGGGCATCAGAAGGAGATTGCACCGATAGGGTGCGGGGCATGGTTTCAGAGAGACTGCGCTGCTAGATGCGTAGCCCTCAATGGTCTTGAATGGAGGTTTGTTGTCCTTAATTGAAGCTCCCACCCACTTCCAACAGTGCTCTCCCCTACCCCTTCACATCCTCTCAAAATATCCTGACAGCATTACAGGTGTTCTTATAGCAGCAGTTCAATAAGACAGCTCACCACCAGCTTCTTCAGGCCAACTAGGGATAGGCAATAAATTCCCCGATCCCCACTCATCTACTTTGGCTCCTGCTTGAGCAATATTGCGACTTAAAAATTCTCATCCCTTGTTTTCAAATCCCTCCGTCACCTCTCCTCCTCCTTTCTCTTAGATTCCAATTCTCCAATATATCGGCACTCTTCAAATTATGGCCTTTTTGAGAACTTCCATCAATAGGTGTTGGGACTGTCCATGATAGAACAGCATAAAATGGCCAACGAAAGCCCCAACAAGCTTTGCAGTACATGTTTAACAGAAATTATAAAGTGTGGGATGCGCTTGCTTAAAGTAGTCTCAGCACATGTAACACTGACTGCCCGTTTTCTCACTAAGATTGGATATGCGACATTCTTTGCCCATTAAAAACGTTTCCCACCAGTCGTTTCTCTTAAAATTTCTCTAATCAATCAGTTATAATACGACAAGTAGGTTTCAATTAAGGTTCTTCAAGATAATCCTAGATGTATTTTCCAAAATATAAAATCACCAAAAACATTAGAAAGAAAGGTTTAAAAAAACTAATTACAAGGGGCCTCCCTTATCTCATAGCAAGGACAGCGGCTAGAAGAATAACCAAACACAGATGTCATAGTTGAGAGATAAAAGGTTACTGTAATCATAGAGATGTCAACTCCTCACACACCAAAAGGGCCCAATCAGATCACAGCAATTAGCAATTACTAACAGAGTCAACACAGTGTGGAGCTGGAGGAATACAGCAGGCCAGGCAGCATCAGAGGAGCAGGAAAGTTGACGTTTTGGGTCGGGACCCTGAGGAAGGGTCCCGACACAAAACATCAGCTTTCCCACTCCTCTGATGCTGCCTGGCCTGCTGTGTTCATCCAGCTCTACACCTTGTTATCTCAGACTCCAGCATTGGCAGTTCTTACTATCTCTGAGTGAGAACTAACATAGAGTGATATACCAAAAGCCCAATCACAGTTGGACAACCTAGCACTAATTAACCAATAGCATATAGCGGGAGGGAGTATGTGCCACCATGTTAAAGTTAGAAGAAAATGTATAAAAGGCAATTTACTTGTATTTGAAATTAGAGCGTCATTGACTTTTCTTCCGATCTGAACCGAAGATTAAGGGGGTAATTGGACTCTCACATCAAGGCCAGATTCAGGATGATCTTTGGCCTCTGCCTGCATTGGATTGGCAGATGCTTGAATAAATTACCACGTGCGTGAACTCCTAAAATTTATTACCCATTGAAAGGTCGCTCCTACAACATGGAATTCAGGGCTATCTAAAGGGCTGTGTTAGTCTGTGCTGGAGCCAGGGAGAAGGGGTTCAGAGAAGCACCACCCACACATACACCAAGACGATGTCAGTGAATCAGTCGGTGACTTTATCACTTGCAATGAGTCAGACATTCTGAATTAAACTGCATCTGGAGTTGTGTGTGTGTCGTTTGGGTATTCTTAACTCAGGACTGATATTATTGCCTTAGAGGGAGTGCAATGAAAATTCACCAGACTTGTTCCTGGAATGGTGGGATTATTTTATGAAGACAGATTGGGCAAACTGAGCCTGGATTCTCTACATTTTTGAAGAATGAAGCATGATTTCATCAAAAGCCACAACATACTTAAAAGGGATAACAGGGTAGGAGGTTTCCCCTCATTGGGATATTTAGAACTAAGAGCACCATTTAAAAACAAGGGGGATGACAGTTAGGTTTGAAATGAGAAGAAATTTTATTTATGCAGAGGGTTGTGCCCCTTAGGAATTCTCTACCACAGAGGGCCGGGAAGCTCAATCTTTGAGTATATTAAGATAGAGATTGATAGATTTCTTATTCCCAATGGTGGACAGGGTCATGTGGATCAGGTGAATACAAAGGATCGAAGTGATTGATTAGTCATGACCATATTGAATGGCTGAGCAGGTTCAATGGGCTGAATAGTCAACTCCTGTTCCTGTGTTGTGCGATGCAAACTGAAACCTGGTGTTAAGGAATAAATTAAAACTGGTCTCCAAAATGTGTGATTCATTTTTCTGTCATTATTAAAATTGTCAGGAGTCCATTGCCATATTGCTCTTTTAACTGGATGGTTGGCAAAAGCTATCAAAAACAATTTGTTCAACTTTCTACAAATGAATGTATTCTTCAACAAATAAACAACAACTTTTTTTCTCTTTTAACATCATCATCCAATTGGGGAGTGAGAGACCAGGATCTGGGCTTAAGCTAAGCTCACCGGGATGCTCTCTTTTACCCGTAGTCATCACTTCCAACTTGTATTTGTTACATACAACAAATTCAGGAAGTTTATCCCTGGTTGTGAAACAGAAAGCCGTGTGGGAATTCAATGCTCAGCAGAAAGGCAGCAGGAGCAGTTGGGCTGCCATAGCAACCACCTTTAAAGGCATTAAGGTCAGAGCCCGGAGTTAAATTGCACATTTCATAACCTGCATCATTAACCTGCCCTGATACACTTACAGGAGGTTTACTCCTCTTAAAATTCTGCACTGTGACCAGTCGGTTTGATTCCCCCATACCCTAATTCTTGCACCTCTTTTACAATACTCCCAACCCACAAAGTACATTTTTTTAAAACAAAAATCATCTTCCAATTGAACCGTATCTTAACTTCATCCTCTTGGCTCTGCATCCCTTTATTTCCTCATTTACCAATAAGTACTCAACGTGGGACTTAAAATTATTCCCTTACGTCAGCATTTCCTGTGTTTTGGGAGGGGATGGTCTTGAGGTGGGGGAAGATGGGACGGTCTTCTGGGGGGGGGGGGGAGGAGCATGTCCAATGTTTGACCTCCTTGCGCAAAAAAAAACTTGCCAAATTCTCTCCCCTCCACCTGCAGCCCCAGATCGATTGGCAGGGTTGGGGGGTGGGGGGAGGCTGGTCCCTTAGAACAAGTTGGTGTGGCTCTGAACAGATCAGGAGCAGAGAGCACCAGGTCTCCAAGGCTGTGCGGTTTTGTGTGTTGTTGAGGTGATGTGACTGGTGATGGCAACCTGCAACTACTGGAGTGTCACAGGATTCAGTGCTGGAGTTACCATCATTCACAACATATATTTATTTCCTGGGTGAGGAAGTGAATATACGACTGGCAAATAAAAGTAGGTGGGAGCCAAGTGATGATGATGATACAAGGTGTCTGCAACGACCTTTGGACAGGTTAAATTAGTGGGCAGAAACTTGACACATGAAATATAATGTGGGAGGAAAAGTGAGGTTATGCACTTTGGCAGAAAGAATGGAGAAGCTGAATTTTTTTTTAAATGACTGCAGAAAACTACAGCAGAGGGGACTTGGAGTCCTCTTCCATGAATCTCAAAAAGCCAGCATCCAAGTTCAGTGGATAATGGGAAGACAAATGAAATGTTAGCCTTTATTTCAAAGTCAACAGAGCATGAAAGTAGGGAAGTTTTGCTAAAACCGTACACAGCACGAGTCAGAGCACAGCTGGAATACTGTGAATAATTTTGGGCACTTTATCCAAGGAAATATACACTGGCATTGGAGACGGTCCAGAAAAGGTTCACTAGGTTGATCCTGGGTATGAAGGATATGTCTTGGGAGAAGGGGTTGAGTAGATTGGGCCTGTAGTCAGTGGAGTTTAGAAGAATGAGAAGGGATCTTATTGACACGTACAAGATTCTTAAGGGACTTGAGGGGGTAGATGTGGAAAGGCTGTTTCCCTCTGTGGCAGAGTTCAGGACCAGAAGGCATCATCTCACCAGGGTAAGGGGTAGGATATTAAAGACAGAGATGAGGAGGAATTTCTTCTCTTAGAGGGCAGAGAATCTGTAAAATTCTTCACTGCTGAGGGCTGTTGAGGCTGGATCATTCAGTATATTCAAAGCTGAGACAGATTTTTAATCAGTCGGGGAATCAAGGGTTATGGGGAAATGGCAGGAAAGAGGAGTTGAGGATTACCAGATCAGCCATGATTTCACTGAATGACATTGCGAGGGTGTGAAAGGCTCTATCTAAATTCAGGCTCTGTATCTGAAGTACACAGTGCATCAAGTCACTTTTGAAAACGCAGGTACTCTTTCAATAAAAGTGGGAACGATGTGCCACCATATCCGCATCTGTTCTACATTTTAAAAAATTCTTTCATGGGAGAGGAGTACATTGGACAGAACCGACTCGCTGGGCTGAATGGCCTACTCTGTCTGATATCTTATGGTCTACTGATGTGAAACAGAAGCTGCTCCAAGAAGACCATAAAGAAGACGATAGTGTTGTGACGTCAGTGGACTAGGCATCCAAGGGCTGGGACTAACGCTCTGTGGACACGGGTTCAAATCCCCTGGATTTAAACTCAGTGAATAAATCTAGAATTGGTGATGGTGACCATGAAACTATCATTAACTGTTGTAAAAACCCAACTGGTTCACTTATGTACTTCAGGGAAGGAAGTCTGCCGTCGTTAACTGGTCTGGGCCTACACTAAACTCTAGACCCACAACTGCCCTCCGAAATGGCCGGGCACTTGGTTCAAGGAGAATTAGGGACTGACAGTAAGTGCTGGCCTTGTACTCAACTCCCATGAAAGAACTTTTTAAATGCAGCACAGGTGCTGATGTGCTGGCACTTTTATTGAAGGAATACCCTCAATTTCACAAGTGACTGGTTGCTCTGTGCACTTCAGGTACAGAGCTTGCAGTTAGATAGAGCCTTTCACGTCCTCGCAATGCCCGACAGACCCCAGACAACCAATCAATTACTTCTGAAATGCAATCACTTCCACTGCTCTACAGGCAGACACAGCACAGCAAGATCCCACAAACAGCACTGGGATAATGTGACCAGTTGGTCAGCTCCGTTTGGGGGTGGAGGGAAGTTGGGACTCTGCCTTTTTTGGAGACGGTGGCTTTGGACGTGCGTGTTTTTTTTTCTAAAACATCCCTCCTGTCCCCAGATGGCATACCTCCCAGCCCTCCTGCAATGCAGAGGGAGTGTTGGCATAGAGGCTCAAGCCTCCTTAGAAAGGGGACTTGAACCCACAACCTTCAGCCCCCGCGACGCATTCATGACCCACCAAGACTTAAATGACATCTAAACAATTCAGGTAGGAAGAAGGGAAAACAACAATTTGGGAGGTACATTTTCCAATGAGAGGCCTCTGCCTGCTTTTGGAATAACAGGAAACATGGTGGAAATTTCCCTCTCTCACACGGTCACGGAAACTAGTTTCACACCCTCTTCCAGCACCACAGATTAAAAATACAACTGACAATGCAGAGTGGGGAGGGACCTTTCATTGGAACAGGAGGAAGTCATTCAGTACCTACCAGCTGCCCCGGTATCTAATGCCACCATGGCTGCTCTACGGTTTAACACCATCTCTGGTCAGTGAAGTAACAAATCATTTTAATTGCCAGGTGCTCTGAAATAGCTTATTAAGTTATTAACACACATAACCCATGAAGGAAAAGTATATACTACATTTCAAATAACTCAGGCCTTTACAACAACCCACCGAAGAATCCAGATTTGAAACAGAAATATGAAATTTCAAACCATTCAGCCATCCAGCTAAAACTCACTAGGTAGCAGAGACATCAGTGTCTAGAAACTGCCCATACACAGTTCACTTCATGAGAGCTGGGCTGATTTCAGGCTGCCTAATTTTGACAGGTCATCAAACTACAGCCTGCTTTCATCCAGCCAACTGGCCACCACTGGGAGATATGAAACATCCCATGGCCCTTACTTCCAAGAAAAGCCAGGGAATCCTCCCCCAGGTGTCCTGGTTATTATCTCACAGCCAGTGGATTATCCAGTCACAAAACACACTGCTGATTGTGAGAGCTTCCTGTGTGTAATTTGGCTGCTGTGTTTCCTGCATCTGTGACTACACTTTAGACGAACTATGCCATTGGTTGTACATTGCGTCAGAGCCATCTGAGCTGGTGAAAGTCACTATATAAATGAATATTTCACTGACATCCAGCTCCTGGAGATTCCTTCTGTGATCAGGCTGATGGTTGTAGCTGCATCACCAAGTTCCACTGCGCACACAGCCAGTAGTTTACTCCTGGGCAGGTTAGGTGAATAACAGGAGCTGTGGTCTGGCACATTCGGGATAGCCATTAATTTCACCCAGTGTGGCACTGAGCTAATGAGGTCCTAGCACGTCAGCGCCACAAAAGGAAGATGGCGATCACACCCACGAGATATCCAGCTGTCAGCTGGTAGAATGGTTGCTGGGAGAAAGGGCTGGATTGAGATGGTTGGCGAAGCATTCCAGTGCGGAAGAGGCACCCCCCTCCACACTGTCTCTCTACGCATGCGCACACACACACACACACACACACACAGAGACATACAGACACACACAACCCAATTAACAGCCCAGTTTGGGAGGGTATCTAGATGGAACACAACTTTCAGAACAGCTTGAGATGGACAGGCTCCTGGGTGAGGGCACAGCTGCCAGTGATGGTGATTCTCCCCATTAACAAAGAGCCTGCCAGCAAGACACAGCCACACAAGTGGTGGACGGACAAGGAACGAGAAGGCAGCCACAGCATGAGCAAGGGCACAGGGAGAAGGAGAAAGGAGCAACAGGGTGGGGGTATTGAAGTGATTGGGAAACTGCCAGGATTTGGCCAGGGGGTGGCAAGTGGTTAGCACTGCTGCCTCACAGTGCCAGGGACCTGGGTTCGATTCCACCCTCGGGTGACTGTCTGTGTGGGATTTGCACATACTCCCTGTGTCTGCATGGGTTTCCTCCGGTTTCCTCCCACAGTCCAAAGATGTGCAGGCTAGGTGGATTAGCCATGCTAAATTGCCCATTGTGCCCAGGGATGTTTAGGTTAGGTGGGTTAGACATGGGAAATGCAGGGGTAGGGGAATGAATCTGGGTAGGATGCTGTTCGGAGGGGCGGGTTGGGCTGAATGGCCTGTTTCCACACTGTAGGGATTCTATTATTCTATGATTTGTAAAAACACTAGCCTACAGGGACGGTTGGAGCAGGGTGGAATCAGAACCCTTACTGTTTACAAAAACAGAAGTTGCTGGAAAAGCCCAGCAGGTCTGGCAGCATCCCTAAAGCGAATTCAGAATTAACGTTTCAGGTCCAGTGACCCTTCCTTAGATGGGTCCCTTCCCCCTTTCTGTTTACCTTGGACAATTAAAATTGGACAAGGGAAGTATTACTAAGGGATTAAACAGAGTGAAATATTTTAATGCAGGTAGACAGCCTTGCAAACATGGCTTCACACTTCACTGCCCTAATTATGTTTTTATAACAATATTACAAAATTTCATGGAATTTAGAAGATTAAAGGGTGGCTTAATCAAAGTTTTTAAAGATATTGAAGGAAGCAAGTATAGTGGAGAGAGACAGAAATTGCTTTGAGTGGTTGGAAAATCCAAGATTCTAAGGCAGAGAATGAAAATGAAGACCTTTCAGGAGTGTCAGAAGCAATCACTTTGACCAAGTGAAGGTCATGGAAATTTGGAACTCTCCTCCACAAACATCATTGATGCATGATCAATTGTTGATTTTAAATCTGAGATTTTCCTTTTGATGACCAAAGGTAGAAAGGAATATCCGGCAAAGGTATGAGGAGTTAGATCACAGATCAGCCATGAATTTCAATGAATGGTGGAACAGGCTCAAGGGGCTGAATGGTCTCCTCTTATTCCTACGCAAGTCTGTATTATCTAGCAGCATGGATACCTCATCCTTGTTCAACGAAAGCTCCCTTCCATGATTGCAAAATCCACCTGTGTACTCGTCCACAATAGCGTTTGTCACAGTCTGGGCGCCGTGCACAAGCGGAAGAAGACCGAGACTCTCACCGTCTCCACAGTGCAATGTCTGACCACAAAGCACAGGTGTTCAGGAGAAGATGGTCGGATCCAGGAGCTGGAAGGACTGCACGGTGGCGCGGAACTGCTCCAGGGTCCAGTGTGGCGCAGCACTGGCAGACGTCCCTCCTGACTGCACAGAGCTCCCACCCACACTGCTGCTAAAAGGACTAGTGTTGGGACAGAGAAAAAGGGAAAAAAAAAAGAGAGCCACAGTTAAAGAAAATAACTGTCCCAAGAATTGCCACAAACACCCAAGAGCTTGGACACATCAGGATAGCTTTAAAACTTTAGAATATAGCAACATCTGAATTAGGAAAAGGCCATTCAGCCCCTTAGGCTTGCCCTGCCATTCAATGAGATCATGGTCAATCTCACATGGCCACAATTCCACCTTCCAGGCGGGAAAACACACTGACACTTCATCGGAGGCTGCACTGATGATGTTACCCAGCAGGGTAATGAAATGTCTGCGGAACAACGAACCAGCTCAGTGAGCCAACCAACCTGAGCTACAAATCTACTCCAAAACCTTAGACTCCACCTTCCTTTCTGCCATGAAAGGCAAATCATACTTAACTTGTAGAATAGATAAGGGCGAACCAGTGGATTTGGATTTTCAGAAGCATTTTGATAATGTCCTTCATACGGTTTTCGTGGGAAAAGTTAAAGTACACACAATAAGGGGTAATATATTGGCACAGACTGTTGGAATAAATCGATCTTTTTTCTGAGTGGTAGGCAGTATCTGGTAGGGTCCTGCAGGGGTCAGTGCTTGGGCCCCAGTTACACATGATATATATGAATGACCTGGAAAGAACCAAATGCAACATTCCCAAGTTTGATGACAACACAAAACTAGTTGGGACTGTGAATTGTGAACAGAATTTAAAGAGGCTCAAACTGACGCAGACAAGACCAGCAAATGGGGGAACACGTGGCAGATGCAATACAATGCAGCTAAATGTGAAGTTATACACTTTGGTGTGAAAAATAGAAAAGAATATTATTTAAGTGGTGATATATTGGGAAACGTGACTGTACAAAGGGTGTTCTTGTACATCAGTCAATGAAAGTACAGATACAACAAGTAATGAAAAAGGCAAATGGTATCTTGGCCATTATTGCAAGGAGATTGGAGTTCAGAAATACGGACGCCTTATTGGAGCCATACAGAGCCTTGGTGAGACCTCACTTGGCGTATTGTGTACAGTTTTGGTCTCCCTACCTAAGGGAGGTTATTCTTGCCAGAGAAGGAGGGCAGTGAATACTCACTAAGCTGATACTGGGGATGGCACGACTGTCCTACAAGGAGAGACCGGTTCAGCTGGGCCTGTATTTTCTAGAGTTTAGAAGAATGAGAAAGGGGATCCAATTAAAATGTATACATTTCTAACAGCTTTGAAGGGATGATGCAGTGAGGATGTCTCCCATGGTTGGGGAGTCTAGAACCAGGGGACATTGTCTCAGGATTCAGGATAGATCATTCAGGACTGAGATGAAGAAACATTTCTTCACTCAAAGGGTGACGAAGCTGTGGAATTCTCTACCATGAAAGGCAGTGTAGGTCAAGTCACTGAATATATTCAAGAAAGAAACAGATACATTTTTAGATTTCAATTGCATCAAAGGATTAGAGAGTGCAGTAACATGATCTTGAGATAGAGGATAAACCATGACCACATTTAATGGTGGAGCAGGGTTGGAAGGTCGAATGGTCTACCCCTGGTTTCTAAATCCCTCCATATCCTTTGATTCACTCATTGATCAACAACCTGCCTAACCCGGCCATGAATATACTCAATGACCCAAACTCCATTGTTCTCTGAGGCGGTGGGGTTGTGGGGGGCGGGGGGGAAGAAAAATTCCAAATACTAATGACAAAAGAGTCTAGAGGGGTAATTTTTTCACACAGAGGGAGGGGGAGGGTATGGAACAGGTTGCCAGAGCTAGTAGTGGTAGCAAGTACAACAGTGTCATTTAAGAAACATTTAGACAGGTACATGGATGAGATAGGTATGGAGAGATAGGAATCAAACGCGGGTAAATGGGACTACTTCAATTGTGAAAATTAGACAGTATGGGCAAGTTGGGCCGACTGGCCTGTTTCCATGCTGTAGTCTTCTATGACTCAATGACCTTTTGAAAGAATAAATTCCTGTTCACCACCCACTGCAGCACACCTCCCCACCCCACCCCACCCCCATCTTAAATGGGAGATGCCTTATTTTTAAACTGCGTCCTCCAGCTCCATTCTCTCCCACCAGGGACAACATCCTTTCAGCACCCACCCTGCCCATGTCAGAATCTTATGTTTCAACAGGATCACCTCTCATTCTTCTAAGCTCCAACCGGTACAGTCCCAAGCTGTTCAACCTTTCCTCATGGAGTTGGCACAACCAAATGTACTGGGCTCTCAGCTATTCCACATCCATTTTGTGCATGGGAAGATCCCAAATACAGCACTTAGCCAAATGGTCAGTTTGTCTGCTTTTTGGTGAAAGGAAGGTTGTCGGGCGAGAACCTGGAACAGATTCCAACTCCATCCTCCCCAACTTCCCCTTCTTCAAGTAGACTACTGGGATCTTCCAATTCTGCCTGAAGGGCCGGACTATATTTTTGTGTGATATTGGTGCAATTTCAGACCTGACGTGCGGTGAGTGGAGAAGGTGTTCAGGCAGAAGTGCTGATTTTGGAATTCTGGCTCTTAAAGTTATCCTCTTCTGGGAGGACTTCCTTCACCTCATATCTCTAAGTTTTAGATTAAATCAAAAAGAGAAGGATCACTTGATTAATCATTAGCTCCATTAATATTATATCTGGTGACCTCTGGAATGAGGACAGATAAAATTAAATGAAAACTGTTCTTTTTTTCCATGTAATTTCCTCCAATCTGAAGAATGGTATCTTGGACAAGGCAGGGAAAAAGCCACAAGTCTTATACGAGAAGGAGTAACAGGAGAAATGAGAGTTTCTTTAAGCTCCAAGAGGGGACACCCAAAGCAGATCTTAAAGGAGTTTTATAAAACAGTTGAGGGAATGCAGTAGGACCGGATTTTTATTTTTAAATTAAGTTCAGCAATGGAATAAGGAGTTAGTGGATTCAGACTGCTTGAAGAGTGAGTTTCGGACAGAGATAAGGAAATTCTTCACGCAAAGAATGATCAAAGTGTTGAACTAAGGTTACAAGTGTTTGTGTAAGTCAAAACCCTGAAATAACTTCAGAAACAAGTAAATAAAACTAGTGTTTCGATGGAGGGCTTCTGAAGCACTCTGGTTGGGAGGAGAGACCAAAGCACCTTCCTTCCCTGTAATTGGTGAAGTCACGGAAATGACATAAGAAGCAGAGGGGAGATAGTGTGTGGCTTGAACAGAAGCTGAGAGTTTGATGCATAAAATTGAACATTAATCTCTTTAGCAAAACATAAATTTGTTTGTATTTAATATTCAATAGTTGTTTAAATTCAGATCTACATACGGGTATATAGATTATTTGTGTGGAACAGTTGTAGGAACTTGGTATGTGACTGAGGTATTAAATGAACACTTCACATCTGTCTTTACCAAGCTGCCCAGACTACAATGGACAAGAAGAGGAAATTCAGACACTGGAAGAGTGAGATTAGATACACTGTTATATAAAGTTGACAAGGGACCAGATGAGATGCACTCAATATTAAGGAACTGAGAAAGGAAAAGAAGTGCAACCGTAATCTCTCAGTCTTCTCTAGACTCAGGGGAGTAGCAGAAGACTGAAGAATCACTAACATTATGCCCTTGTTCAAAAGAAATTGGAAAGATAAGCCCAGAAATTACAGATCAGCCAGTTTCATTTCACCAATGGGGAATCTTTTAGAAACAATAATTCCAGATAGAGTTAATGGTCAAATTGAAAAGCATGAACTAGTTAAGGGGAGTTGACAGGGATTACGGAAGGAAACGAGTGTTTGATTAATTTGCTGGAGTTTTCAGAAGAAGAGGTAACAAAGACGGCTGATGACAGTAACACTATTGGTGTACATGGATTCCCTATGTACGTTTGATATAGCACCACACACCAGACTGGAGGAAAGCTATAGGTCATGGAATAACAGGGACATTAGTAACATGAACAGAAAATTGGCTGAGTGAAAGCAAACAGATAGTAATGGTAACTGGATATTGAGGAGGACGGTCTGTGATGTAGTACTCCAGAGGTGGGCATTGGAGCATTTGCTTTCCTGAAATGTATTAATGATCTCAATCATGGTGTGCTGGAGACAACTTTAAAGTTTTGGATGATACAAATCTTGTAGTGAGGTGTGAGGTGATACATTTTGGTTGGAAGAATACTGAAAGGGTATTATTCTATACAGGGTGCAGAGCAGAGCGAGCCAGGTTTAAATTTGCATTATTAAAGGTGACAAGACAGGTGGAGAAAGCTTTATTAATAGGAGCATGGAGCACAACAAATAAGAGGTGATGCTGAACAAGACACATGGAGACCTCAGCTGCAGCATTGTGTACTGTTTGTGGGTGCCGCATCATAGGAATGATGTGAATGCGTTGGAGAGAGCGCGAGTGCACGAGACAGACCGAGAGAGAGAGAGAGAGAGAGACAGGTTTACAAGAATAGATCCAGGAATGCGGCACTTCTTTGACAGACAGGTATGATTGGAGAATTTGGGACTTTGCTCCTTGGCCAGAAGGAGTCCAAGAGGAGAGCTGATTGAGGTTTTCAAAATCGTGAGGGGTGTGTGGAGCAACTAGGGGGAAACTATTCCTGCACGTAAAAGAATTGCGAACACAAGGGCCCAGCACCACCAGAAACTACTCGAGGCAGATTCAGCAGAGGTATTTAAGAGGGCATTAGATGATCATTTCAATGGAAACAACGTACAGGGTCATGGAAAAAGGGAGGGAGCACTAAGTCACGATGCATATTCAGAGAGCAGAATGGCCTCCTTCTGCACTGCAATACATCTGCCAGTCTGAGAACTTTTTAAAAGCTTCGGCATGGTGTACTAATCTCAAAAGAGCAGCAGAAGCAGGTACAATAGGAACTTTTGAAAGAAGAAGAAATACAGGTACTTGAAAAAGAAACTTTTGCAGGTTTCTGGGCAAAAAAAAATTCCATTACTTCCTCAGTCTTTCTCATTCCAAGCTAGTTAGTGATCAAGTACCTGATTATTGTCGGATCATTAAATGTGATGAGGATATCAGTGGAGTACTGTGGGAGTCTGAACAGTGCCAGGTGAATTGTCACAGTATTTCTAGCCTGTAACAAAAAATGGACAAAAGTAGAATAAGATAAAACAGACAAATCACATTGTTCACACACTAGGCTGATGATCTCTGCAGCTGCAACTGTTAGCTGTACTTACTGATTTCAGTGTTACAATGCTCTCCCAATCTCAGAGATCATCCCAAACTCTGCTGTCCCACATGCTAACCTAATCAAGTCCCACTGACCCCCCTATTCATACATTGACCTATACTCCCCTTCGGCAAAGTCTGTTCAAGAACGTTCATCCTCATCTTTCAATCCCTGGTTGCCACCCCATCTCCTACAACCTTCACCTGATTGGTGCAATCTCCGACCCCACACTCTCTGACCTCCTTCAATCACAGTTTTTTGCACTTACACAGTTTTAATGACTCTACCTTTTGCAGCCGGATGTTCAGCTGCCTGCACACCCACTGCAACCCCCGCCACAGCAACTCCCTTTTAAACTTCCCTCTTTGTCTGAACACTTAGTTACCCATCTCTAATATCTCCTGCTGGCGCACGGACCTTGGCGGACTGTCCACCGGCCACAGACCTGCTCATTGAATTTAGCCACCTGCTGCCTCCCGGAGAGGAGCCAGGCGCTGCTGGGATCTTGTAGTGTAATCTGGTCACTGCTGACAGGCTCCACACTCAGAATCTTTGTGCTGTCCATGACGGTCGCATCATTACTGTTTGCAATGTCAGCAAAATGGTACCTGACAACACAAAGTAGCACTGAATCTCAAGCAACAACCTGTATTTGTATAGCTAGTGCAGCAAGGGAGAATCCCAGCCAATCCCATCAAACAAGAGAGAAATCCAACCAATCCCCAATCAAACATGGCAGAATCCCAGCCAATCCTGATTCGGCAAGAGCCATGGACCGTTTGTCTCCCAGCCCATAAGAATTAAAATTGCTTTTTTAAAATAGACGTGTTACAAACCACACCTTTTTTTGGCTATTCCCAGACTGTGGCTCGTGATTGCCCTTTCAATTTTGTTGCTGTTGGTCCCATAGGTTTTCATCCTTCTCCTAGCTCACACTGTGCACAGCTTCCCACTCCCTCCCCCTTCTCTCTGCAGCAGGCTAGTACACATCCTCCTGGTGCAGTCACTAACCTGGCTGCTTCCTGATCAGGAACGTGATTCTGGTGTTCTAACAGCTCGATGATGATGCTCTGGTCCGTATCACTGTGAGCAAATACTTCCTGGTTATCAGGGATTTCACGGATTTCGCTTGAGAAGAGAAAGAGACCAAAATAAAAATGTAACACAATGTGTTCCAGTCAGGATGGTGTGTGGCTTGGTAGCAATGCTCCTATGTATCTGCTACCCTTGTCCTTCTAGATGGAAACGGTCATTGGGTTTGAAATGTACTGTCTACAGAGCTTTGGGTATTGAGTATAAGATTCCTGATTGAAGATGTTAACCTGGTCCAATCAAGGTGCCCTGGCTGACAGATTTAAACAGGAGTCTCAGAGATTGTCAGGACTCTAGGGACTAGCTGTAAGCTGGTTAGTCAGAGTCCATGTACTGTGCATGTATAAATAAAGGGTGACTTGGTGATGGGATACTGGCCTCCATGCAATTATTTCATCATGCCAATTAGTCGGGCTGCTTTGTCCTGGATGATGCCAAACTCTTGAGTGTTGCTGGAGTTGCACCCATCCAGGCAAGTGGAGTGTTAATCTTTACTGGATAACCTCATCACTTCAGGCAATAAAGGTTAACAGTAAATGTTGGCCTTGCCAGGGAAGCCCATGTGTTGTGAATTAATAAATAACAACCAAATAAGTTCCTAATCTTGTTGCTTGCTCATGCTGGAGAGAGTTTGGCCAGTCAGGAGGCAAGTCACATGTCTGAAATTACACAGTCTCTGATTTTCACATGTAACCAAGTGTTAATCCTGTCACAGCAGGTAGATTTCTGGGTGGTGGTGAACCTGTCGCCCAGATACCACCTCTGCCTCTCCATTCTCTGAATGAACATGAGCGGTGAGGGATTGAAGAATCAAAACAAACAGTGGGGTTACCTGTCCTGGTATTCTCTTCATTCGTTCATGAGATGTAAGTGTCACTGGGCAAAGCCAACATTCGTTACCCATCCCCAACTAGCCTCAAACGGAGTAGTTTGCTGTTTTCAGAGGGCAGTTAAGAGTCAACCACATTGTTGTGGGTCTCAAGTCACATGTAGGCCAGATCAGGTAAGGATGTTGGATTTCCTTCCCTAAACAGAATTAGTGAATCAGACTGGGGTTTTACAACAATCAATGGTCACTATTACTGAAACCAGCTTCATATCCCAGATTTATTAGTTGAATTTAAATTCCACCAGCTGCCATGATGGGATCTGAACTTGTGCCCCTAGATCATTAGCTTGGGCCTCTGGATAGCAATGTACCAATTCACCTTCCTCATTCCTCATTCACCCCTACCCAGAATAAAAAGTAAATCCAATGATGCCCATGTAACCACTGTCAATTGTCACAAGTACTCATCTGGTGCACCTAGGGAAGGAAATCTGCACTCCTAACCTGGTCTGGCCTAAACTCTGTGACTCCATAACAATGTGGGTGACTTTTAACCTCTCTCTGGGCAATGTGGGACAGGTTAGAAATGCTTAGTATGAAAAAAGTCTCATTTTCTGATGGCAAAATGCTAACTGACAGGGAATTGCACTGAAGTCAAGATTGTATTTTTTAATCACAAACTTCTTGCTTACCTGACATCAACTGAGTGAGGGGGGATAATCGCTGAAAAGGAGCCTCCAAACAGTAAATGAGGGACATCACTGTTCATCGCCATGTCAACTGGTTTCACACAATATATCACTGAAGAGAGAGACAGCAACAGCACAGGTTTAGATACAGAGTAAAGCTTCTTCTACTTTTTTAAACTGAGAGTAAACGGAAAGTAAAAGTACCTCTGCACTGTTCCTATCAAACGCTCGGAGCACAGTGACAGCATAGGGTTAGATACAGAATAATGCTCTGTCTACTCTCTTGAACTGAAAGTAAGAACCTTCTCCATTCTTTTGAACCAAATATAAATGGAAGATAAAGCCCCCACTCAATACTTTGCCCGTTGAACACTCAGCAGAGTTACAGCACAGGTTAGGTAGAGTTGAAGCCACATGTACTCTTTAAACTAAAAGTAAAGCTTCTTCTACAGGGACAGTTAGATACAGAATAAAGCTTCCTCCACTCTAAAGTAAAACTTTCTTTACACATTTAAACTGAAGGTAACTTCCCCCCACCCCCCCAAACACTCCTCAAAAAGGTACAGCAAGGGGTTCGGTACTGAGTAAATCTTCCTCTAATTTTTAAAACTGAAATTAAAGCTCCCACAACACTGTCCCCATCAAACACTCCCAGGACATGCACAGCATAGAGTTAGATACAGGATAAAGCTTTGTCTACTCTTTTGAACTGAAAGTAAAGCCTCCTCTACTGATTTGAAAAAAAGGTAATGTTCTCTCGACACTGTCCCCCTGGTGTTTGCACTCCATGGACAGGTGCAGCGTGAGGTTACATACAGAATAAAGCTCCCTCTAGTTGTCAATAGCTTTTCCTTGACAACAATTATTACTGGAACACAGTGGGTTCCCACTTGCACTGAGTTGAGGTTGGGACACTGTCATGATTTGCACTGGAGTACTGGGTACAATAGACAGAGAGTCTCAGCAGCTGTGCCTCTCATTGGGATAAAGATCCACCAGAAATGACTCTTCTGGTACACTGTTGGAGTGAAGACCATTGGCATTGACTCTAATCGGGGGGGGGGGTTGCAGGGAGATGCTTGGACAACACTAGCAGGGAGAGCTCCAGGGTCTGGGACTCAGTGGCCGTTCCAGCATTCCACTGGCACTGGGCGCTCCGCTGGCCGTGATCTCCCCCCCGCACTGGCCCTGGGCGCTCTGCTGGCCGTGACCCCTCCCCACTGGCACTGGGCGCTCTGCTGGCCGTGAGCCCCACCCCCTCCGGCGCCGGTGGCCCCCCTGGGCGGTGCCCCCCAGTGGCAGCGGGCGCTCCGCTGGCCCTGACCCCCGCTGGCAGCGGGCGCTCCGCTGGCCGTGACCCCCGCTGGCCGTGACCCCCGCTGGCAGCGGGCGCTCCGCTGGCCCTGAACCCCGCTGGCAGCGGGCGCTCCGCTAGCCCTGACCCCCACTGGCAATCCCACCGCCCCCCCCCAACCCCATGGAAATGCTGGGGGACACCATATGCAGCAGACTCCCGGAATCCTGAGGCCACAGCTGGCACCAATGTTAACCATTGGAGGCCCCGAGCGGGGAATGCAAATCCTCGGAGTTTAGCGAAGGCCGGAGCCGCCTGAGAGAGGACAGAGCCCGGCCCTGTCACTGTAACTGCTCCTGGAGCCGTACTTGATCACCTTTACCTGTTCTCCCACTGCCACCGGGCCTGGGCAGGGAATATCCGAGAGGGGCCGAAAATACTCGCGCGGTCCAGGAATACCCGAGCGGGGCCGGGTATAGCCGAGCGTGGCCCGTAATACCGGAGAGGGACCGGAAAATCCGAGCGGTGACGGAAATACCCGAGCAGTGCCGGCGTTACCCGAGCGGGTCCGAAAATACCCGCGCAGGCCCGAAAACATCCGAGCGGGGCCCGGAAAAATCCGAGCTACGCCGGAAATGACTCCCTTTAACGGGAACTACCCGTGCGAGGATCGGAAATAATGTTGGCGGACCGGAAACAGTCGAAGTACTGGCATCTGGCTATTGATCGCTCCTGTTAATGGAAGACAACAACAACAACAACAGAAATTTGACTTCTTGAGGAAGTAGCAGCTTCTCCCCAGTTTAAGCCTGATAATAGGCTGTTCTCATTGGAAAGGGATGACTGGTGGGTCACCTTGCCTTAGGCAATAATATTGGGGTCATGACCAACAACGTTGACAATACCTGGGGCTTTTGCGACCATTGTTACTGGCTGTGTCAACAGTTAATGTTTGTGCTGAGACCATCATTAATGGCTTCAGGTTAAAACACAGACAGATCCTAAACAAGGCCTCACACCTGAAATGTATTGCTTGACCTGAGATGTCGCCTCTTGTATACATTGATAAAACCTTTAGTTATCTCGGGGAAATCACCTGAAAGAATTTCTGGGATTTGTATGTTAATCAATAGAAACCCGCGTCTCCTTCCTAACTGATTAAAGATTCGACGGGAGGCGGTCAGCAGGCCAATTTTAGAGTTGTTATCTTTCTGCTTATAAATTCTGTGTCGGTATACCCCCTCTTCCACAGTATACCTGAGGAAAGAGCAGAGGTCCAAAAGCTAGTATCTTCAAATGAACCTAAGGGTCCCGATCTGAAACGTCAACTTTCCTGCTCCTCTGATGCTGCCTGGCCTGCTGTGCACCCCCAGCTACACAGTGTGTTATCTCTGACTCCAGCCTCAGCAGTTCTTACTATCTCGGACTATAACCTAGTATTGTGTGATTTTTGACCTGGAACAATGGACAATAGTAGAACAAAGAACAATACAGCACAGGAACAGGCCCTTCGGCCCTCCAAGCCTGCGCCGACACATTTTGCCCTTCCATACTAAAACTGTCTTCATTTACAGGATCCGTATCCCTCTATTCCCTTCCCACTCATATATTCGTCCAGGTGTTTCATTAATGCTGCTATTGTGTCTGCTGAGGTTGTTGGCTTGCCGAGCTGGTTTGTTGTTCCGCAGACGTTTCGTTACCGTGCTGGGTAACATCATGAGTAGATTTGTAGCTCGGGTTGTGGGTGTTGAGGTTGGTTGGCTCGCCAAGCTGGTTTGTTGTTCATCACTGATGATGGTTTGTTGTTCCGCAGACGTTTCGTTACTATGCTGGATAACATCATCAGTGAAGAACAACAAACTAGCTTGGCGAGCCAACCTCAATACCCACAACCCGAGCTACAAATCTACTCCAAAACCTTAGATTGTGTCTGCTTCCACCACATCTCCTGGCAGTGCGTTCCAGGCACTCATCCCCCACATTTGTGTGAAAAACGTGTCCCACACATCTCTTTTAAACGCTTTCCCCTCCTTCGCATCTTGAACCTGTACCCCCTAGTAATTGGCCCTTCCACCCTGGAAAAAAGCCTCATATTTTCCACTCTATCCATGCCATTCACAACCTTATAAACTTTATCAGGTCACCCTTCAACCTCCTGCATTCCAGTGAAAGCAAACCCAGTCTATCCAACCTTTCTTCATAGCTAAAATCCCCCATACCAGGCAACATTCTGGTAAATCTTTTCTGTGCCTGCTCCAAAGCATCCACATCCTTCTGGTAGTGTGGTGACATGACCTTTCCTACTTGCATGACAATCTATAGTACTGGTGATGGGACCTGTATTACTGGTGCTATGAAAAATAATACCAATGCCAACACTTGCACAATGAACTAAGGTACAATTGTTGTGATTTTGTATTATTGACACTTTGAGCAAATTACTCGTGCTGTGACCAGAATTAATGACACTATGAAGAATAATATAGTTGCTGTGACCAGTATTACAGGCACTAGGAACAATAATACTGGTGCTTTGATCAGCCTTACTAGCACCATGAGCAATAATACTGGGTTGTGCCAACATTACTGACACTATGAACAATCATACTGGTGTTGTAACAAGAATAATGAAACTCTGAACTACTGCAGTGATGGTATTACTGTCAGAAGGCCTCTAACAGGAGGATGCAAAATCAGACAAGAGCCCAAGGTGTTAGGGTCAAGGGATTGGCTGACTGGCAGAAGGCAGAGAGTAGGGATAAAGGGGGCTTTTTTAGGATGACAGCGTCCAGCTCATACACCCCCTGTATCTCTGTAACCTCCTCCAGATCCTAACTCTGTAACCTCCTCCAATCTCCATAACCCTCTGAAATCTTTGTACTCCTTTAATTCCACCCACTTGAGCAAACCCAGATTTTCTTTGCACCTAACTGTGCCTTCAGTTATCGGGCCTTGAGCTCTGGAATTTCCTCCCTCAATCTTTCTCTCTTAATCTTTCCTTATCAAAACCTTTGACCAACAATAGTTTGGTGAGTTCGATAGGATCTCCCGGTGTGGCCCAGCATTAGTATTTGTTTTGCAGCACTGCTCTTAAAATACTCAGAAATGTTTTCCTGCATCAAATATGATAAATGCAGGTTGATGTTGTGAAAATCACAGATCTGAGGAAGTTGTAGCAGAGCGGTGTTGACAGCAGATGGAGCTGAAGGTTAAGAGATGATGTTAAGTTGTACTGGGGACAACAAGATGAGCATTTGAACATCAGAGATAACAAAGGTGTAGAGCTGGATGGACACAGCAGGCCAAGCAGCCGCTTCAGTTTCTGAAGAAGGGTCTAGGCCCGAAACGTCAGCTTTCCTGCTCCTCTGATGCTGCTGGGCCTGCTGTGTTCATCCAGCTCTACACCTTGTTATCTCAGATCCTCCAGCATCTGCAGTTCCTACTATCATTTGAACATCACCCTGTTGCCTGCCAAAGCTGAGCCCATACTGGGCATGGGGTCATCATATGGTGCAGGAACCCTGGATGATTATTAGCCCCTCCTGCCCCAACAGCTCCCACCATTATCATCTGCCCCTCTGCTCACAGAAGACTCCAGTTCAGCACAGCAGCAGCAATCTGTAAGACCCATCTCAGCCACAGTGGGGAGCTCTCTATCAATATCAACTGTGGTCCTCAATCAGAGAAGTTGACAGCAGAAAAGGAAGCCATTTGGCCCATTGTGCCTGTGCTGACATTTTGAAAGCACTTTCTCTGTTAGAAAATTCTTCTGCCCTTTCCCACAGACTCTGTTTATTGTTTCTTTGCATTTTCTCTGTATCTTTGAACTTTGCCTCAACCTCTGGAAAACCTCTTTCTCTGTGACTTCCTACAGCCTCTGTACTCCCTAACTCTGTATGCTCTTCCAGCCCCTGCACCTCTCTTTAACTCTGTAACTTCCTCCAGCCCCTATACCCCTCCCTGTCTCTGTACCCTCCTCCAACCCCTACACCCCTCCCTATCTCTGTATCCTCCTCCAGCCCCTACACTCCTCTCTAACTCTGTAACTTCCTCCAGCCCGTACACCCCTCCCTGTCTCTGTACCCTCCTCCAGCTCCTACACCCCTCCCTAGCTCTGTACCGTCCTCCAAGCCCTACATCCCTCCCTATTTCTGGACCCTCTCTAACTCTGTAACTTCCTCCAGCCCCTACACCCCCTCTAATTTTGTAACCTCCTCCAGCCCCTACATCCCTCCCTATCTCTGTAACCTCCTCCAGCCCCTACATGCCTCCCTATCTCTTTACCCTCCTCCAGCCCCTACACCCCTCCCTATCTCTGTACCCTCCTCCAGCCCCTACACCCCTCCCTATCTCTGTAACCTCCTCCAGCCCCTACACCCCTCCCTATCTCTGTAACCTCCTCCAGCCCCTACACCCCTCCCTAACTCTGTACCCTCCTCCAGCTCCTACACCCCTCCCTATCTCTGTAACCTCCTCCAGTTTCTATGCCCCTCCCTATCTCTGTAACCTCCTAAAACCCCTACCCCCCCTCTCAGTCTCTGTAACCTCCTCGAGCCCATAAACATCAGAGACCTCCATACTCCTCTAATTCCAGATACTTGAGCATCTCCTGATTCCCATTGATCTCCTATCAACTTCTATTCATAAAATAAATGTCATTCGTAAACTTTTAAAAAATATATTACATTAGAGTTCAATGTTGATTTTACATAAAGAGCCAAGCAGTTGACTTTTCTTTTGTTACTATGCCTGAGGCTCCAGACTATATTTCTTTTGACAAGTTGTATTTACAACATCCCATCCATCTCAAACATACAGCCTGCGATCTTACAATGAGAGGTTTCCAGCCTCTCAGTATACAATGGCAGGAGAGTCTTAGACTGTGGCCTGTCTGCATTGTGCCTCACCCGAGCTTTCGTGCATCCATAAGCTCATTGTCCTGGTGTTTGGAATGTGCCAGTCTGCAACATTCAATCATAGACAGCACCTTGCACTGAAAGTCCAGCAAAGTGTGCAAGGCTCCCCCCAACCCCAATTCAATGGCAACGTGTGGAGAGTGTAAGACTTTGACCATGTAGGAAGGATTTGACAGGCAGCACCCTTTGCCACCAGTCAAGCTGTGTTTTTGATGTGAGCAAACATGTGATTATCCACTAGGAAAAGCAAGAGGGCAGATTACTTTTCTGTTCTGAAGAAGAGCCATCCCAGTCCTGAAAGTTAATTCTGTTTCTCTCTCCACAGATGCTGCCAAACCTATTGAATTTCTCCAGCGTTCTTTGTGTGTGTTTCAATTTTCTAGCATCTGCAGTATTTTGCCTTCATTCAGGCAGATTATTATCTAAATGGGTGGCACAGTGGCTCAGTGGTTAACACTGTTGCCTCATGGCGCCAGGGACCCGGGTTCAGTTCCACCCTCGGGCGACTGTCTGTATGGAGTTTGCACATTCTCCCCGTGTCTGCGTGGGTTTCCTCCAGGTGCTCTGATTTCCTCCCACAGTCCAAAGATATGCAGGCTAGGTGGATTGGCCATGCCACATTGCCAGTAGTGTTCAGGGATGTGTAGATTGGGTGGGTTTTAGGGGGATGGTCTGGGTGGAATGCTCCAAGTGGACTTGTTGGGTGG